CCCCCCAAAAAAAAATTTGTGTTGTTGGAAACGTTGTGCGTCTTCTTCACTGAATTTTGTTTGTTTATGTAACTGTTTTTGACTTTTGGTTCGTGCTGTGTTCTTCCATTTTCTGTGCTGAATCCAACCGTATAAAGAACGTGAAATTTGGACAAACAATTGGAAAGTTATAGGTCAAAAAACGACTGGTCGCACTGTTCACACGACTGGTCACGAACGAATCTGTCCAAAAATAACCGGTCGCACTGTTCATATGCACACTGTTCACAGGTGATACAGTGGTGATAAAAGGGCGATAGAAAGTGCTGTTTGTGTTTTTCTTTGGTTTCTTGTTTTGTTTCTTTTCTTTTACCTTTTTTTTTACTCATTTTTAGTTTCCAATTTGTATTGTGCTTTTTATGGTGTGTTAAATAAGTGTTCTTTACGTACTCAAATTAGAACCTGTAGGAAGCCGACAATTCTTCGTGGGATCGATCCCGTACTTACATAATCTATACCTCAATAGATTCGTGCACTTGCGGGTATTTTTAATTGGTTGTTTGCACATTAATTTGTGTCAGTTAATAATACAACACCTACTAAGCGGTGGTTGCTCATCCCTCACATTGTTTAATTTTTCAGATGAATTAGTGGGCAAGACAAGGACTAAAGCAGTTGAGTTTGAATTAGATGAGAATAATAGAGCTTTATTTATTAATTGTAAAGTTGTAAGATTTTGGAAGCTATTTTTATAAGAGAAGTTTATTTTAAACCCCTGTTTCAACTTCTTTTTATTTCTTTTTATTTTTTTTTATTTTCTCACGCACCGAGCGCGGGATTTCCACCGACCCCCGAGACTGGGGCGTGACACTCCAGTCCCACCGTGGACTCAACAAGGCCAGAACAAGAAACTTTACAAACGCAAAAATCAACCTTTAATTTCTCTGTAATTCACTTTTTCACTGGAGAAAAGCTTACCTAAAATTTTCTCAATTGACAAATCTCTTCACTACGACTACTTCGACTATAAAGGCGAAAGATAGGTGAGGCTCTCCTAGCTACCACCTAGGCTATTGGGGTTAATGAAAATTGTTATTTGAACTATTCCTTCTTCATCAATTGTACTCGCGACGAATTCAAGGAACCCCAAATAGTAGCATATTGGGGAGATAGTAGCTTCATTGTTTCTAACATTTCACTTGATGAGACCGAGTTGCAAATGTTCCAGTTTGTACCCAAAGATTGTTAACAAGAGCAGGAACTCAAGCCCTAGGCCTGACTGCCCTGACCATTCCTGTGGTAATCTGACAATTCCGTACCCATTTGGCTTGCGTGACAATTTTTCTCTCAGACGTGACTTTGTCATCAATTCTAGGGGTGGTTGCGGTTCGGTAACCGCGAATTTTTGCCCAAACCGCAAACTAACCGACTATTTGCGGTATGGTGATTTTTGAAACCGCAAACCGACCGTTTTTTGCGGTTTAAAACTGCAAGTTCTTTTTGTGTCATAAAAATCCAATCTTCCACATTTTAGGCCTAATTTTGATACTTCTTTTGAAGCCTTTTGAGTTCAAGCATACTTTAACCTAAAAATATAAATTACAACCTAAAGAAATAAATTCACAACCTCCTCCACTTCTCAAGCATTCATAACCTAAAGAAAATTAAAGTTACAATTCCAAACATTCCAATTAAAGTTAAACTTCTTAAGCATTCACAACCTCAACTTCTCAAGCATTCCAATTCCAAATCCTTTAAAGTTACAAACCAAAAGGAAAATGCAATGCAAAATGAATTAAAGTTACAACCCAAAGGAAAAATCTAATTCAAAGTTAATTAAAATTACAAACTAAAAAGAAAATGCAATGCACCAATGTTACAAACTCAAGTGTTGGTGGTGGTGAGTGGATTTGAAGGACCCCGTTGTGTTGTTTGAGCACCAATGCTATCTACAAATAAAACAACATAAGTTTAGTACATTTTATTATAAGAAGAAACATAAATAACATGGGCATAAATAAACTAATTACTTACAAGTTGTCATATGTTCCATTTCCTTGTATAATTTTTTTATATTAAATATAGTCGCGGTTTGCGGTAACCACAAGTTTTGAAAATCAAATACCGCAAATGCGGTTCGGTTTCCCGCGATTGCGGTTCCATTACGATAAATTGTCGGTTGGTTTTTGCGGTTTTTCGGTTTTTCGGTCGAAAATGCCACCCCTAATCAATTCCATACCCATTTACCCTTTTTTTAAGAAAGAAAATTCTTTGTACTTATTCTCAATTTGTTTCGTAGTACATAATTTAAAATATGCATAACCATTTTGTTATTTTCTTGTTTAAACTATAGTGAAGTCATCATCGTGCCTTAGTTAAAGCTAATATATATATTGCTTTCTAAACCAATAAGATTGATGAGCTTTTGTTCAAACCTTTTTGTTCCGGTTTTTATTCTTTAAAATGTAAAGAAGAAAAAGAATGCAAGGACTATCTAGAACGTTAATTAAATGAGAAATAAAATGGGATGAGACAAACTACAACCACAATTTTCTTTTCAAATTGCAACAATCTCTGCAGATTCCAAGTGAACCAAAAATAGAGAGGGCATTTAAATGAGAATATGAAACAATCTTTAAGCATATGGGTGAAAAATCATTATGTGTCACAGGAACACAATGCGCCATGCAATGGGGTATTCCAATTAAATTATACTACGTATTGATTAACGAGAGTATATACGAGGCATAATTTAGATGAATTGATAACATAATATCACCACAAATTAAGAAGTAGAAAATTGAATGTGAATGAGCAGCTTGACCTATGTGAATGGGTGTATAAACAAATCGGAAGTAAAAGCTGAATGATATGAACATATGAAGTTAATTTAATAAATGAAGAGCAATTATTTAAATGCAACTTAGCTAAATATTTTTATGTCAAGCTGATCAAGTTGTGTTATTAGTTTTATTTTGGCAAAGGCATGACGAGGTAGATGTTTAAGTGGAATCAAAGACAAATAAAACACCACTAGCCTTGTCATCGCCAATCATATGCACGTCCAAAGTCCAATCTATCGGGAATGCAGTCATATAAGCTTGTCATTGACTTTTGAGCTTAATTAGTAATATGCTGGATGTGACTGCTCTTATAATTACCATATAATATGAACAAATGAGTGACTCTCCTCCGAAGTCTGCTTTACAAAAGTCACTAGTCTTTGTCAAAAATTGACGCCATCATATAATACGTCCCAATTTACTCGCATCGTTATTTATATTGCATACAAAATAGACATGTATGTATGAGTGATTTCTTTCATCGTACTTGGTTGATTTTTATTTTATCACTTGCGCATACCAACTGGTACTTTTTTAAGGAAAGAAGATTCTATATATATGTACTTACTTACTATCAATTTGTTTCTTGCATGATTTAATATAGTGAAGTTACCATCGTGCCCTAGTAACAATACAAAGACTATCTAGAACGTTTAAATGGGAAATGAAATGGGACAACAACCATTTTCTTTTTAAATCGCAACAACCTCTGTAGATTCTAGTGAATAAAAAACAGAGAAGATATAATTTAAATGAGAATATGAGACAATTAATCAATTTTAAGCATGAGCATGAAAAATTATTGCGTGTCATGATAACACCATGTGTCATGCACTGAGGTGTTATAGTTCCAATCAAGTTATAGCACCTACTTATTAACGAGTTAATATATTTTAGAATTTATCATTAATGATTATATACGTGGTATAATTTGAATAGATTGATAACATAATATCCCTACAAAGAATGATTAGAAAATTCAATCTAAATGAGGAGCTCAACCATGTGATATAAATAGATGTGAATTGTTGTAAAAGAAAATCACAAATAAAAATTGAATGATAGGTACATATTTTGGGTCAACTTAATTTAGATGTGAATTGTTGTAAAAAGAAATCACAAGTGAAAACTGAATGATAGGTACATATTTTGGGTCAACTTAATTTATTTATTAAATGAAGAGTAATTGTTTTATGTCGAATTGATCAAGTTGTGTTATTAGTTTTATTTTGGCGACGGGAGGAGAGGATGTTTAGCGGGTCAAGTAGGTAGGAATGTGCATGTCGAAATTCCAATCTGTCATGTAGGAATGTATTGATCATATAAGCTTAGGTCATAAATTTGAGTTGGTGACTTAATTTTTTAAATGAAGAGTAATTGTTTTATGTAAACTGACACACATATTTCTTATTAAACAAAAATCTACGCACATATATATAGAGAGTGAAAACACAAATCAACTTCGTAATAGAAAAGGACAATATATAAATATAACTCACATATTTCTTATTAAACAAAAATCCACCCGTCTAGTTGCCAGATCGTAAACTCGATAATAAATCAAGAGTAAGAATTCTTATAATTTTTTAAATGAAGAGTAATTGTTTTATGTAAACTGACACACATATTTCTTATTAAACAAAAATCCACCCGTCTAGTTGCCAGATCGTAAACTCGATAATAAATCAAGAGTAAGAATTCTTAGGATAGAATGCCAGATCATATTTATTTCTTAATTATTAAATTATCCCTGCTTGTCATTGACTTTGCGGGTGGATGTGACTGCGCTTATTTACCATATATAAAAAAGACTTTGCCCCTTGGCTTAATGACTAGAACCAAGTGGGATTATTCGTCAATAAAAAGTGGGGCTCATATCCATCAGTTGCATTTTACTAAGAGGAAAATAGAAAATAATAGATACCACCTAAATAATAGAAGACTTTGCCCATTTCACTTGCCTATTAACAAATAAAAAAGACAGATGAGATAACCATAGGTAGAGGAAGACGCTCTATCTATAAAAGGCCATGCAGGGTACCACTTATTTTTATCACAAGCAATACAAATATTTGTGCTAGAAATAATTATTGAGTGGTGCATATACAAATATTTGTGCCATGGCCAACTCTCATGAGAGGATGCTTATTGACCAACTCTCTTTGGTAATCTTAATGGTGGGAGTGTATGTGATGTTAGGGTCTGTAATTACAACAACAGTAGCACAAGCCTTGCCTCAAGCCCTGCCTGGCTGCCCAGACAAGTGTGGCAATCTTACAATCCCATACCCTTTTGGCATTGGTGCTAATTGTCACAGGGCAGGCTTTCCCATCATTTGCAACACATCCACCGAAACCCCAACAGCACTCTGGGGCAACATCATTGTCACTGCCTTTTCCCTTGATGAGGCTGAGATGCAGGTACTGCAGTACATAGCCCGAGATTGTTACGACAAGCAGGGTAACAACACGTATAACAACGACCCTTGGCTCAGTCTGCCGCCTCCTTTCACCATCTCCGATACCAAAAACAAGTTCATTGCTGTTGGTTGTGATACGTACGCACTTTTCAAAGGTTTTCGTGGTGAAGAAAGGTACATAACGGGGTGCATATCCTCTTGTGACAGCCTAGGCAGCGTTGACCAGGACTCTTGCTCCGGCGTTGGCTGCTGCCAAACGAACATCCCCAGTGGGATGAAAAATCGCACCGTGGAATTGACAAGCTACAACAACCATTTGGATATATGGGGCTTTAACCCCTGCAGCTACGCCTTCATTGTTGAAGAAGGCGAGTTCAAATTCTCCAATAAAACTTTTCAACAACTTGATAGCTTGGAAAATGTTCCAATGATTTTGAATTGGGCAATTGGGGTTGAGGAAGACCCATGTGATGAAGCCCAAAAGAGGCAGGACTATGTATGCAAGGGAAATAGCACGTGTGTCAACCCCATCAATCGGTCTGGTTACATTTGCAAGTGCAAGGAAGGTTACGAGGGCAACCCTTACCACCCAAATGGTTGCCAAGGTGATACATCTACCCACACACATATATCTACTACATATTATATATAATTTATATATGTAATTTGTTTTTTTTTTAATTTTAAATTTAACTGATTGAATTTCCTGATTTTCTTTTTAGATATTGATGAATGCAGCTTGCCAAATATTAATCCCTGCACTAATGGAACGTGCTCCAATTTACCTGGAAGTCATAATGGAACGTGCTCCAATTTACCCGGAAGTCACACTTGTTTATGCCCCGCAGGGTACACAATCGACAGCGTGAATGGAACTAGTTGCTTAAAAAACACTCCTCCATCAAATAATAATTCCCTGAAAATTTCAGTAGGTATGTATTACTAGCTATATGCTTGCATTCCTTCTTTTTTTGGGTCTAAACCACGAGGTGGTTGCATTCCTTCTTAAAACAAACATAAAGAATAAATAAAAGGAAAACAATAATTTTCTCAAAGAGAAAAAGTAAAAATTTCCGAAGTTTTTTTTTAAACAGACCAAATGTAAAATTAATAATAATTTCACAGTGATATACATATTATAAGCTATGCTATT